AAGTACTGGCAACAAAGTTGCATAGTGGATGCCTACCTTTAGGCTATCATACATGGTGCAACATTGTTGCATGCAACTTTGTGGCTACTTTGATCTTATTGCCTCAAGTGGACTATTACTCAACTTGAGGCAACAAGATCAAAGTAACCACAAAGTTGCATGCAAAACAATGTTGCCCCATGTATGATGGCATTAAAACTGATGGTCCTTTATGATGAATTCATTTTATATTTCTGTTTTCTGTTGTTTATATACTTAAAAATTTGTGGCACTTTTTGTAGCTCTTGCAGAAGACCGTCATTCTCATCCACCATACTGTTAGTTTATACAGTGTAACATTGCATGCATGCAAGTTTTTAACGCATCAATATTGTGTTGCATGCTTCATTCACTAATGAAAAAAGTGTTGCATGTAGAGAAGTGTACTTGCATTGTGCTACTGATAGTGATGATGTTCCAAGTCAATAGAGTCAATAGCTGCTATACAGTTCCTGTCTTATAATACTGGAGGTGCTTTTGATATCTTCTCAGCTCTTTTCAGTGGTTCCTTAGATAATGCCATGATAAATGTTAAAATTAATTCTAAAGGCTGCTGCTGTATATTCTTTAAATAGTGTTACATATATCAACATGATAAGTGCATGAAACTAATGTAAACTGTGAATAGTAGTAGAGTTGAACGTGGGTCAACTCTACAGATGCTGCAGCTATGTATAATTCTATTAATCTGCAAAAACAGTAGTCAACATAATTTCTTTTAAGTGGTAATCAAACAGTGAAATTACATAAATTGCATTTTATTTTTCCTTCTTAATATAACTTCCTTCTTTAGTAAGTTGAGTCATTTTCTTGGTCTATATAGTAACTGTATGTCATAGTGATAGTTTTGTTTTAGTTCATATCCTGGTATATGTCATTCATTAATTGCTATGTTGAAGTGCTACATACTGCATGTAGCACTATAATTTGCTGAAGAATCTGTGCTCAAAAATGTTAATTTATTTTTGAAACTAACAAAATTAATAATGAAAAAACAAGGTCAAATTCAAAATGCACAAAAAGTCATTCCGTTATTAATACTATAACTATTTCTAATACAATTATAATTGAACTATAGTAATTGTTACTAATATACTAAATGTATATCCTCTATCTAACATTTCATTATTATTATTAGTCTTGTTTTGATAGAAAGTCACAAACTGTTTTCACTTCTTC